TAGCTCCACTGCCTACTAGCCTTGAGCAAGCGAGTTATTAGCCTCTGTCTCCTCATCAAAAGACAAAGGGGCTAACTGCCTCCCTGTAGCATTCGCAGCATCTGCCTGGCATCAAATCCTAGCCCTGTCATTTACTAGGTGTGTGACCTCTGGGCAAGTTATTTGACTCATCTGTAAGATGAAGGTTATGATAGCATCTAGGTCAAGGGGCTGTTGGGAAGATTAAGTTAAGTCCATACACATAGAGCCCTTAGAACAGCACCTGGCACATTGGAAATGCTATAGAAATGTTCGTGATTGCTGGTATCTGGACTTAATAATTAATCTGTGTTAGCTACGTTGCTTTATAAATGTTCTTTCATCCTGGGTATCTCTAATCCAATTCACTTTCTTCCCCACAGATAACTACTTTCTACACTCAATTCTTTACCATGATTAGTATTAAGGAACTCTAAATAGCATTACAAAGGAGTCAAAGAAATGTAAACAATATTTTAACTAAGCAGCACTTTCATAGTAAACCACTTTCTAGATATTTGATTATCACAATACAAAAATCCTGAAGAATGCAGCCGCCCTGGGTGAAGCGGGCAAGATGGCTGCCTCTCCTTTTGCAGGTGCCTTGAGAGCAGCTTCAGGAATCTTACGGCCCCTGAATATTTTGGCATCTCCAGCCTATTGAAACCGTGCCACGACACCCCTTTTATTTCTGCACTGTCCACTGGACATTTTAGTAATATTCAAGACATCAGTTGTTTCCTGTGCTTCCAGACTTATCCATCCACCAGAAACCTGACACGTGTCATGCTGCAGTGATCCCTAATAAACTGGCCGCCGTGTTTCCAAATGTCCTGAAGCTGCCAGTCAGAACTGGAACATACTTCAGTTCATGAAAAGGCGAGAGAAAGACTGTGAAAGCTGTCATCTGTAGGTTTCTTTGACTTCATTCTGGCCTTTGGCTAAGGAGAAAGGCTGGTTATACAGAAAAATTATGGAAGAAGAGGACTACAAGAAAAAGACGCTTGAGGGAATCTGTGTTCTGTAATAAAACCCAGAGTAAACTCTCAGATAGAATGATGACGACGTCTTTCTGGAAGAGGCGAAACTGGTATGCTGATGATCCTTATCAGAAGTATCGTGATTGAACACACCTGAAAGTATAGATCAGAAGTTTTATGATTTCCCAATGATCGACTATGTATCTTTGCATAATGATGTCTTTGCAAAAATGAGTAACTATAAAATTTAATGTAAATTGTATCAATTAATATGTAAATGTACATACCAACATTAAACTTATGAAAGTTTTAATGCTTAATGGATCAAACACTCCCAGATTTGATCAGGGAAATAGACGTTTAAAATTGTGCATTATTTTTACCAAATGGTAATGGTTTAATTATTTGTTCCAATTAGGTTTGTTTAGTTGCAAGGAATCTCAAGTGAGGACAAACATAAAAAGACTCCAAAGCTACAAGTCAGCTCAAGCAGTGTGACGTTGTTTTAAGGATCCTTGCCTGGGAACTCAGGAACCACCTCAGCAGCCCCATGTCTCCCCCAGAAATCACCGCCAGGCCTCAGGAAGAGCAGAAGTTGGACAGTGGTCCCCAAGAGGAGAAGGTGGATCTTTAGGCTCGGGCTCATGTGACTCAGTTCTTTTTACACTGTTAACTCCATTCTCCCTCTACTCACCAACTTCTCTAATTCACCGCTTTTGCTTACTTATAGTTTCTGCTCCCTTATAATAACTTGAGCTTGCACCTTTGACGTTCTTTTCTGCATCATGACCCTCAGCTCCTGTTTCCAGTCTCTAGTTGCCAAGAGACTCCAACGGGGCCAGCTTGCCTTTTTACACCAGGTCTCATCAGTGTCATTGTCCAGTGTCGTTGGCTGTTCTTAGGTCAGGAGCCCACCCTGGCCCACTTTGTGTTAGTGGGTTCACAGAAAGCAAAAAATAGTTATGTGAGCAGTTCCACTTAGAGGCGAGCACGGGGCGGCTGCACACCTAACTCCTAGTGTGCTAGGTTCATTGTGTTCCTAACAGTTATCGTTTAGTTTATTGGAATAAGATTTTTTCATAGAAGAGTAAATGAATCCACTCATGTATTGATGGGCACTTGGGTTGATTCCACATCTTTGCAATTATGAATTGTGCTGCAATAAACACTTGAATGGAAAAAAAAAAAAAGAAAAATCCCGAAAAGTCTGTTTCCCCTAAATCAGATTTCTGTTGGGAAGACAGACACAGTTGCTCACAGAAAACACCCATAACCTCACCCAGAGTCTCTCCCATTCTCTGACAGCTTCGGGGGAAGCATACAAATAAAAAGCTACCCTTCCTTCAGCCTTGTTGAAACCTGTTCTTCAGCCACCTCCCCCATCACTGCACCCTGGAATTCGTCATTACCTGAATTTGATACACATAAGAAATCTTAAATTCCAGTATCCCACCTTCTGACCACATGCTTCGAGTCTTCCAGCTCCCCCCCTTACTTTGCCTCTCTGCCCTTGGACCTGAGCTCCCATCAGTCCCTCCACCCGTCCTCTTCCCACCAGCTTCCTTACTTACTTTCACAGGAAGCTGGTCCCCTACCACCTCACCTGGACTACTCTTTCTTAGGCACTTTGAAATTCCTTGGCAACCCTAAAACTTGTCCCCCAGGCAAAACTTGTCCCCAGGGTCATCACAAGAAACTGCCATCTCTGTTCACCCAGGCAGAATGTCCTGTGGTCACGTGGATTCATGGTAATGCCCTTTTACTTGCCCCACCCTGCAGTGAGTTTACAAAACCTTCACCCCTCCTTTGGAAACTTCTCGGCATCCACCTCCTCTAATTCTCAGAGGATGACCTCACCTCCTACGTCTCTGAGAAAACCGAGGCCCACAGACATGAACCATGTTAACTTTCTGCCCCCTCCATTCATTCACTCATCCAACAAGTACCTGTTTCCTATCAAGCTCTGTGCTAGGTGCTGGGGGTGATATAAGGAGGAAACATTTCCTGCCTTCGTGGTGCTTCCTGTCTGGTGATGGATAGACTTATAAAGGCAACTAACAAAATGTTCAGCTTATCCTCTACCCACCACCATGCTGCAAGAAAACCCAAACTACTGGTGTTCCACTTGACAGTCCCAGCTGAGCCCCAGCTTTTGAATAATCTCAGCCCAGACATCAGATGTGGGAGAAGCAGCTTTCAGATGATACCAGCTCCCAGCAATGTAAGTCACCTCCAGCTGTTTGGGGATTCTAAACTTAGGCCCTAGACACTGTGCAGCAGAGAATTACTTATGTTTTTCTTTCTCCACCTGGAACACACTTTCCAACTTTCTTTGCTTGGCTAGATATTTCTTATTCCTTTTCTTCTCCAGGAAGCATTCCCTAAACTCTTTGGTTGGGTTAAGTGGCTCTTCTCTGGGTTGCTTTAGCATACCTCTTCTTTAGCATTATATAGAAATTACTTGTTTTTGTTCATCCATTAATTGTGTGTATGTCTGACTTGGCACAAAGCTAGCGTATGGTTATTAGCCGAACTGAAGAAATGTGAATTCCACTGAGCTGGCCCTAGGAAAACCAGTCAGTAGGCTGTTTGTCTTTAGCGCCCTCTAGCTTCTTCATGGCGCCCTTCCACACCGCCCTTCGAGCATCCCTTGCCCCAATTACCTTTCAGTATCTCTAAGTGATAACCAAAAAATGACCTTAGCTTAGAGTTTATCTCATAAGCTCATAGGGCAGAAGATGCCTTAAAAAGCATTATTTGGGTGCATGGATTTGCTAAAGTCTAATCATTGAGAACAAGATGATATACTAGGGATTGGAACTGAACTACCTTCTCTGGTGTTTCTGGCAAGGAAGACAAGTGAGAGCACAGCCTGCAGAAACAGAACCACCCTGCAGTGTAGGTAAGTGTCCAAGAGGACAGAACTGCTAGGGAGGGTGAGAGCAGGGGAGAAGTCTCAGGATTCCAGGTATGGACAGGAATTTGTCCATTTGATACCTGCCCATTTTGGGTGTTTACCCCTATTTCAAGACTTTGGTCACTGCGTTAGCACTTTGGGGGGCTCTGTGGTGATGACAGCCCCATGCCCATGCTTACACTCTAAATCATTCCTCTTGGCTAGAGTTCATTTGGCCCCGGGTCGGCCCAACCTGAGTCATAGTCTCTCCTCTGGGCATTTGGAATTGAGATGGCCTCTCTGAGTAGTAAGAACTATTTGCAACAGTAAAGCTGGACAGTCGCTGGCCTGTACAATGTGGGCTAGAGGGGCAGAGATGAGGGACAAAAATACTGACGGTGCTGTAGTCCTGGGTATCAAGTCCCCTTCTGTCTGTCCACAGGTTCTGATAACCTCCCTATACCTTGTATCCTTAAAATAATCTTCCTCTTTCCTTTTTGACGTCCAGTCATTTGGGTTGCTGTCACTTGCAATCAAAGAATTCTAACTAATACAGCTGCGGTTCCCACACTGCCTGCCAAGGTGCCCTGGGGCACTACATTGAGTTCACAGGGGTGCTTTGTTTTTCTCCTCTTCTATTTGGTTCAAATTGGTGCATTGTGTTTGAACAGGCCGTTGGGAATGGGGAGTCCTGATGTTCAGGGCGGCCATCTGCATCTGACCCCTGATGGACAGGAGACCCAGACAAGTCCCTGGAATCAGCAGGAGGGATCCAGGAGCGGGGAGCAGAGAGCTCCCGCTAGACGTTGCACATTTTGGTAAGGGAGTTTATCCTATGTCCGCCAGGCAGGTGGTAAGCAAATCCAACTGAGTGTTCATGTCTAAGTTTATTTAAAAAGCAAAACCCTACTCATGTTGAATTTTTGGTTTGCAGCAGATTCAAATTAAAGAAGTTATATAACATATCAGGTAAAGTAATATGTTGGCATATTTGTGATCATACAGGGAGAAAATTAATAGGAAGATAATTAAAAAATTTTAAATTTGTAAATCAAAAGATTAAACTTTGCTAAAGTTTACAAAGAACGTGTCACTCTTAAAAAAAAAAAAAAAGGTAGCTCAGCTTTATTTTAGTAAAATCACTGACAAAACAATAAAAAGCCCAAACTAGAAAGACATTTTCAATTAGAAGACAAGCTGAAGTTTTATATTTCTTTGTGAATTCAATTTTAAAAAGAGAAGTTTCTAAAATCAGCAATTGGCAGGTCCTTAATCCACTTTTAAATCTTTCCCCACCAGCATGGCAGTCACGGGATGCATGCTGGCTTTGTGCTCTTGGTAGGTGCGGATGGCTTGATCGTGGGATTTGTCAAAGGCAGCGAGATCCCTGAAAAAAAATTTAAACGGAAAAGAAGAGGAAAGAGCGAGAGAGACAGAGGGGAAGAGAGGGAGGGAAGTCAATAGTCAATACCTGTGATTAAATTAAAGGATGCTGGCAGGGGTGGTAGCCAAATATTACCAAATTAAGGCACGAGTCCCAGCCAATTGGGTGGCTATGGCCTGGCTGCAGGGTCCCAGGGGTCTCCTTCTGTCGCAGAGATTGACCCTTCCACTGGCAGATCACAGATGTTTTGGAGGAAGTTAAAGGGAAGGGCCAAAGTGTCTGGGACAGTGGCTGTTTACCAAGCAGCCCGGGAGCATTTTATTATGTGAACATTGTCTGCTCACCTACCTACTGCCTTAGTATCCGTCCCGTGTGACAGATTGTACCTCAGAGACTTTGTCATTTTTAAAACTTGCTTTTTAAAGTTTATTTTTTAATCAAGATTTTAAGAGAATAAAATTACCAGATTTATAAAGAATTTCTGAAAACTTCAAATAATTAAATTGAGAGTAAAAATACTGACCATAGTGAAATGATAATGATACATCAAATAAATAGGACTCATCAAACAAAAGGTGGAATTAGTCGTTTTTAGTATAACCACTATTTATAAATCATAAGACAGAAATATTTATTTTTCCCACAAAAGGTATTCTTATTTAAAACCTCTTTAAAGTATACTTTACTCAATTCAAAACTAGATGGGTTTTAATTATGGAAAGCATATAAAATAAATTTTAAAATACTTAAAAATTAGTTTTGTAGCCACATTAAAAAAATGGATAATGACTTGTTTTGCCAAATTTTATTATACCAGTGAAGTAAATGAAAAGCAAACAGATTAATCATAGATATTTATGTCATGATTTCTTCTTTCCAGAATTCAGGCCAAATCCAGTCAAAGAACTTCACTGAGATATTCTTAAATTGTATCTTGTTGCCAAGATACAACCTTTCACCCTTTTACCAAGCATTCTTTTATTATATGTCAAGCAACTTACTCTTCCACCTCTTTGAAACATCCAAATCAAAAAGATTTTGCTTTATCTGCTCATTTCTCCTTGCATTTAATTATAGACTCTTTTTCTTGTCCCTACCAGCCCACCAATTATCTTCTACTTAGTAAAAAATCTTTCTGTGTATATAAAACTGTCTTTGATAGATTTTCTTTTCATCAGAGTCTAACCCTATTTGGCCGATAACAGGTATCCATATATAATGCTTCTAAAAAAGCTAATGCAATTATCTCATATTTTAAATATTTAGAAGTATGAATTCTTATTCCAACATTATAAATTTTAACAAATTAAAAAATATTATATAGACTGCATTTTATAAAGAATTTTAACAACAAAAACATTTATTTAAGATTTTTCTTCCCATTTCTTATATAAATCCCAAGCGCAGTTTGATCTGGTTCTTACTTGAATAAGGGTCGTGTAAACTTCATTCTTCCTTGTTCAGTCGCCATCTTTAGAGCCAAAGGAATGGCTGCCTCCCACTTGGACTGAATGCAGAGCCGTAACCATCTGAAAGGAGGATTTTTAGGGGGCATGGGGTAGAAAATGAGGAGGAAGGAGCAGGACATGACAGATATATCTGAATATTACTTCTGTAATGATGAATAATCCCATTATAGTTGTTTACCACTTTATATTATATCTTTATGCTGAGACTCTCAAATCCTTATATCTACAATTAAATAATTGGAGAAGAGAAGGAAGAGGAGTTGGTTCTAGAAAATGATCATTGTTTTAAAAGGTTTGGATTATGTAGGTGCTCATGTACCTTACAAATGCAATTTCTGAAGGAAGGAATTAAACTTTGCTTTAAGCTTCACACTAAAAATTTGAATTAAGAAAGATTAACACATAACAGAATCAAAGATTTCTAACTATTCTCATTTCAGAGTTGATTTGGCTGGTTGTGGAAGAAAGCCTATTTACCACTGAATCCTCCATTCTAATCTTTTTTTTTTTAAGGCAAGAAAAGTTTAGACAATGTCTAACAAAGAGATTATTGCTACCAATCTTACATATATTGCAACTATCCCTTAAATACCACTTTCATTATTTATACAAAAGCAGTAAATTTGATGAGGCTCTCTCCAGACTCATGTATGTCTCATATTCTGCTTTCCCTTTCTCCACCTTTCAAACTTGTTTTCTGCTTTCTTCCACAGAGACAAGTTAAAATGATGTACCTGAATCGTATTTCAGAATTGTTAATGGCATTGAAGTTGTACACCTCTTGCATTCGCTTTATGTGCCCCAATGGAAGAGGTGCCTAAGAGCAAAATAAAGAAGCATGACGTATCATTTCAACAGCATTCCTGGGAAGAAAGGAGCTGGGGAGAAATTCTTAGCCAGATTAAAATCCTAAGTATTTTATACTGTAGAAATAAGTTAGGTAAAAAAAAAAGAAACAAGTGCACACTAAAGTAAAGTTTGTGCAAACTTACTCTAGGTAAGGATATTCTACTGAGAGCACAGGGACGATTTACTTGGTCAGGGACTTGGAGAATTAAATGAGAGTTACTCTCCTTAGACTTTTTATTTTTAGCACATAAGAAATATCTTTCAGACTCTTTCTAGAGTTTTTAAAGTTATTTTCTATACCTTATATATCTTAAATTTATTCCATTCTCTAGATTAAACGGTGGCTCCTTAATTTTTTCCTCACTGATCCCCCCCAGCTTTATCTTTGTATATTTCCTTTGGAATCCTTTTTAAATTATCTACATCCCTACAAAATAGCAGTTCTTAAATTTTTATAATATAGACCCCTTTGACAATCTGATGAATACTATGGACTCTTTCCCTAAGGCAAAAAGTGCATTTACTATATAAATACAACTTTCTACATACAATTTCAGGGGATTTAGAAACCTCTTCTGCCCATCTTAACCCAGGCTTAAAGGAAGAACAGGTTTGGGTGAAGCAGAGAAAGAAGATGAGTTCAGTTTGGACGAGCAGAGTTTGAGGTGCCTGCAGAGCACAGGCAGAGGCGTCAACAGGGAGGCGGTAACTCTCCAGCCACGGCCCCCTTCCCTGACCAGACCCTCACTCCACTCACTCACCATCTCTGCTCCCAGGAACTGCCGGCCCCATCCCGATTATTAGTCCATTAGCCCCTGACGGACAGCTCAACTCCAAGTCTACCCTGGTAGGCCGACCAGTTAAGGTCACCTCCAAGTCTCCCTGACTTTCCCCAAGTTCTGCCAGGCCTGTTCCTGAGTCCTCCCATCATGTTTTCTCTCTTCATGGTCCCAGGCCACAGCAGTGCATTTGTGAAACTGTGCCCTGTTGCCTCAAAATCCTTTCCTCACTTTTGCATCAGTCGCACAGGAAATTCTGTTCCGAATCTTCTCCATCGCTCTCTAGGTCCTTAGACCGAAGAGTTCCCTTTCATGTGATCTTAAAGACCCATTCATTTCTTCCCTCCCAAAATGCAGCATGTCCTGTCAGTTTCATATCTTGTTTGTATTATCTAGATTTGAAACTTTAAAATCTGCTTGGACTTTCCTGTTAACCCCCAAATCTAGTCAGTCACAGAAGCCTGTGGTCTCATCCTGTGTGACCTCTCTCTCTATTCTGTCCTGTGCTCTCCTCTCCCGCCGGCTCACCCCCTCACGTCCTGTCCTGCGAGTCTCCCAACCAACCGCACCACCATGCAGCCTGCATGTCCGTTAGTTTTCACAACCCACCATCCCACCATTTCATCACAGGATTCTCCTGTTGAAATTTTTAAATCCTTTCCTACTGACCAGAATAAAATCTAACATTCTCAGCTTAGCATTCAAGAGTCATCACATCTGATGCCACCGGCCTTTCTAGTGTTACCCTCATTGACTTCCTCGCCCAGTGCTGCTGCTCACTCCGGCAACACCAGGCCATTTCCAGCACTTGCTGCTCTGGTTCCAACTTGAATGTCGACCTCCCTGCTAACACTGCTCTGCTCAAATCAAGTCTCACTCTTCCAAAACTCATTCCTTGATGACTCTAGTTGGAAGAGAGTCCTTCACTAATGAAGTTTTTCCGACTGTTACCTAAACTATACCTCCTTTCGTTGCTAACTTTTGCACACGTTCCCCTACTAGACTATAAGCTTTTCCAGGACAAGGTGGAACACTTTCTTACGTGTTTCTACTTAGCACAATATAAAACATACTAAGCATTTGATAAATGTTTTTTAAAGAAATGAATGAATTTTTGAAATTCTAGAAATTATATTTTTCCATTAGTTTCCATGTTAATATTTTTTTCCCAAGTTGGGTATAATGGAAAAGCTGTGCCTTCCTGTCCGTTTTCCTTTCTACTGTTTTGAGCCAGTACTTACTTTCTGGAGCAGCTGAGCTAAAAACTCATTCAACTGATGAGAAGAGAGGTCTTTCAGGTCTGTGGCGTTGAATGAATTTAAATCTTCCTCTTTGGCCTAAAATAAATGTTACCTGGTTATTTCTGTTCGTGTATGATGTAATAATATTTGTTGGTTTACTTGACATTTTTTATTTTTAAGTAGAAATCTTAAAAGGACAGAAATACATAGATGCACAAGATTGTACAAAATAAATTTAAGCCTGAGCAGCTTCAATAACCCAGAGACTGAGTTACTGTAACTTAAAAAAAGCTGATATGACTCCTAAAATCTCTATTACTTAAGAAAAAGTAGACAATTAAGAATAAGAGTGGAGGAAACTTTTGATATCCTTTGTACCATTCAAGATAGATTTCCAAAGCAATGTTCTAAAATGCATGTCAACTAATTTATAGGCCAATTCAAAAATGTGGATAAAAGGCCAAATTGCACATTCTTTTAAAACTCACACTAATCAGTGGCTAAGGCCACAAACCGATGATTCCCTCCATCCCCACACATTCTATATTCCCCACCTAATCTTGGAAAGCACCTGAGAAAAAAAAAAGTGGGTCTGTACTTTTCAAATTGGGATTTACCGCCAAAAATCTTTGAGAATATGATTAAGGAATATTAAATAAAGCTTATCAAAATAGGTACGTTTAAATCTTTTAAAACTAGTTTTAAATTCTTTTAAACTAGGTTTTTTTAATTTTAAAAGAAATATATGCAAATGATAAAAAAAAATCAAATAGGAAAGAATGAAGAATTCCTTTGGTTTTGCTCCCTGTATCCTACTCCTTAGTAACCAGTATTAATGGTGCCTGTATATCCTTCCAAAGAATTTAATGCGCATATATATATCCTTTTAAGGAAATATTTATTTTATATCTTCCCCCTCTTTCAGAACTGTGCTTAATATCAAAACTTCCTTTCCCTTTAGAACTTTACCTTAAGATCAGAATTTATTGCTCTAGCTTGTTCTCTGCTCAAAAGCATGCAAATCCAAGCCATATATTAATTAAGGATATATTTATGTGTGGTAAAAATATAAAAAGCAAAGGAATGATAAACCAAAATTCAGGATGATGACTACCTTGATAGGTCAGCAAGGTGGGTAAAAAGAGCATGAGATGGGGAGGGGTGCGCCAAAGGTACTTACACTAGTTGTGGGGCACACAGGTATTGTTTTCTAGTTGATTTTGATTTTTATACCTTACCAAATATATAAATATTCTTTTGCATTTATTTCATATTTAAATAAGTGAGCAATAAAATACACAAGGAAAGGTGCAGTAGTGATTACAATGTCCTTAATCTGTTCCCAGCACTGGCTGTTCCCACTGATCTTGAACATCTGATAATTATCCACCTTAGCTGCTGGGCCCAAAGAACACTGGAGCAGCAATAGGCACCAGGTAAACTAGAATACATTTTTCAAATGAAAACAGAGGGTTCTCACACACTCACGTTGTTGTTAAGAAATCTGTTTCCTGCAGGTATCTCTCATACTTTTTTCTCCATGACAAGTTTGTGAACTACACAAAACAAAGTTCACGACACAGGTAGAAGAGTAAAGCATTATTTGTGGCAAGAGGTGTTTACCAGACTTCTCTTCGTGGATGGAAAAAAATCAAGCCTCTCTAGAAAGAGCACATAATTAAAGCACTCCTCCAGTCAGGACTCAACACTGCTCTGGGCAAGATACTGGCGGTTGAGGTACATGTGTGCACAACCAGCCTACTTCTCTGCTATGTAGCTACTTAGAGTTTATTACTTTCTTCCAAAAAAAACAAAAAAACAAAGTTGACCTTAGATCTAAATAGTAGTTAGTAATGCTCTACCTTTGTTATAATGTTAAAAGAGTCTACAAAAAGATGTTCATAGTTTATTCTTTTAAATTTAGAGACAGAGTCTTGCTCTGTCACCCAGGCTGGAGTGCAGTGGTGTGATCATAGCTCACTGCAACCTCAAACTCCTGGGCTCAAGAGATCCTCTTGCCTCAGCCTCCTGAGTAGCAGGAGGACTACAGGCATGTGCCACCACACCCAGCTAATTTTTTCTGTTTTTTGTAGAGATAGGGTCTCAATATTTTGCCCAGGCTGGTCCCGAACTACTGGGCTCAGTGATCCTACCGTCTTGGCCTCCTAGGCTGCAGGGACTACAGGCACATGCTACCCCGCACCCAGCAAATAATAGGTAAATTGATGAAAGAGGAGTGCCAAAAGAAAAAGAAATTTCTAGAAATACTAAGTTTTGTTGCTGCTTTTAATAAAAACCTTTGTGTAAACACTGTCCCTCCCGCCCAGAATGTCCTCCTCCACATCATCCACGTCCAAACCACACTGGAACCTGGCCGGGCTATCCTCTCCTGTAAGCAGCTCTCCCGGATGCTGCAGCCGATTGCAATTCTTCCACCCCCAGGGGCAGGTAATACAATGGCCCTTTCTGTTGACTTTCTTATTACCTCATCTGTATCTTCCTCATGCTGCTTATCACTTACTGTTTTAACATTAGTTATCTCTGTATGAATCTAATTTCTTTAATTAAACTAGAGATGCTTCAAAGGTAAGTCCATCCCTGTACCTTTCACAGGGTGAAACACAGCGTTTGGTATGGAGAAGGATGCTAAGAAATATGGGTCAGGCAAACTTTAGAATCAAGTTGCAAAAGGCAATGTCTCCATTTGTTGTAAATAATCTAGGAATAAAATTATTCCTAAATTTTCTGTTCTTTCCCATTAAAGAATTATGCAGGGCACACCCTCACTCTGGTTATGTTTTAGAATATACATGAAGAAGCTCCTCTTTAAGAAGTTTCATACAAGTGAACAAAGTTACTGACAGAGCAAAAGTGCCTCAATTCTTCCCATCACTAACAGTTGGCATTAGTGGTCAGTCGCCCAAGACCATTTCAGATTTGCCTGGTGTGTGCAATTTCTATATTTGAAGTAGTATCTTATAAATGACTTATGAGGGAAAGAAGAAAGGTAAAATGCAAATACTTTTGCGTACTGTTTTTAAGAGTTGAAAAGAGGTAAGAAAAAGAATTAATGCTGTTAAGATGTATTTTTTCCCGGTCAAACTTAATTTTTTACATTGAGGTGGATATAGTATCACCTTAGATAAACTTGACTTTCAAATAGCTTTTCCAAATACAACTGTTCATGATTTAAAGTACCCACCTCACCCTTTTATGAGTAGAGACATATTTGTACAATTCAAAAAGGAGTAAAAAAAATCACAAACGTTACTACTCACAGTAATCCATCTTTGACTTAAGGCAATACACGCATTTGTCAGAGTCATATCATAACTGCAAATATAAAAAATGTTAAAGATTAAATTTTATAAAAATGCACATGCTTTTGCATTAATACAGTTTTAAAGCTATAGAATATACTTAAATTTCAAAGTTCCTTTTAAATAAAGAACTCCAAAGTGATGGAAATAGGAACTCTTTTACCTGACTTACATATTACTGGCATCATCTAAAAACTCACATATCCAAGTGGATACCATATTAATGAAACAACCGACTGTCCTTCAGAGAGAATGCCAGAGCATCTCAGCAAAAGACTGTCATATGCTCCAGTGGTGTATGTTAAAGCAGGTGGAATCAGCTGAGCGTATTTAGCATTTACTCCACGGCAGGAACCATTCTAGACACTCAGGACAATATGATGTTGTTCTAAACATCTAATCATCTAACAAACCGGCAAGCACTTGCTATATGATAGTCACTGCTCCAGATGCTAGACCTTTGAGAAAGTCTGAAATCATTGTGTGCTGATTTCATTCCTTTCTTTTTAGAAGGAAGTGAAATTAACACACTGTGATCTTAAGCAAAGTTACACCAATATTTGTGTGTTCTCAACTTAGAAAAGCAATAAATCGTATATTTTGCAACAATGGAAAAGAACATGTGATGTGTGCAAAATTCTTGCAAAACATCCCTCTTTGTCCACAAATCATGCTTGCTTGCTGTGAAGTGTTTGTGTTAGAGAACAGAGAGGCATTTGCCCCTTAGGGTCTAAATGAAGTATGTTTTGATTAGAAGTTACCAATGAACATTCCTTAAGAGAGCTGTGACTGGGACTACTGGTTTGTTCCCTGAGAAGGAAGAGGTTGATGCCACTCCCTCCTTTGAAGCAGCTGCTGGTTTATTTTCATGAAGTAGTCAGGCTGTGGCTGGCAGGCAAGCCACTTTGTTTCCCTGAAGAACAGGTGGGACCAGAGGTCCTTCACTGCTCAGGCAGTGAGTCACGACCTTCAACTAGAACGTTATTAGCACTGATTTCTTAAACAACAATAGGACAGTGGAAAACCTTTGGCTGGTCTGTTTCTTAGTGTCCTCAAACTTCCTTCTCAGTATAATTAAAAGAACTAAGTTAAGGATTAATCCAGGGAAAAGAAGCAACCCCTACGGTGGCAAAGTCCTGAGAAAAGTAATTAGCAAAACCAGGTATGAGCCTTGCTCTTGTGATACTATAGCATAGTGAGGAAGAAAGACTTTAATATAATCACACAAATAAATGTAAAGTTAGAACTGTGGCAACCTCTATGAAGGGGCGATGTAGCATCAGGAAGCCCTAGAATGGGAGATCTGACCTGGGAAGATATGTCAAGAAATGCTTCCATGAGGAAGTGGTTCTTGAGCTGAGGCTGAAATTAACTGTGCCAGGAGCGCTGCAGGTGGAGGAAACAGTGTGCTCAGGTACCACATTTGAGGATGTATGGAGAGTTTGAGAGACCCTAAAACTACCAGTACGACTGAAGCAAAGGGAGCTACAGTGTTAGGAGCTTGTAGTACTCACTAAAGAATTTTGTCTTAGACCGAGAGCGATGGGACACCAGTGGAGATTGCTAAGCAGGAGGATGACAGGACACAGTTGTATTTTTAAAGGTTTACTCTAGCCTTAGTGTGGAGAATGGCTGGGAGGAGCGCCAGAACAGACACAAGTGCACAGTTTGGAGGCCAGAGCAGTCTTCCAGCAGGACATGATGATGTGAGATTGAACTTGAGCGGCGGTGGTGGACATGGATAACAGTGGATAGTCTCGAGTGCTATTTAAATACACATACGAACAATGAGAGCACTATAAAAACGGAGGGACTTGGAAGCCAACGTTCTGTGCTGGAATGGATCAAAATATTTCCTATGGTTTGAGATTTTCCAAGATATTCCCTCTTTACAGGCTCCCTGGGCATATGAATTCCAGGGTTCCTCCAGTATGTTGGTATTGTGGAAGCAATCTTAAGGGGTCTAGAATGACCAAGGCCCAAAAAGGATCCTCTAGCAGCGGTAATATCAAAGAAATACCTCTTAGGAACTCACTTTTCTCCCAGATTTCCTTAATTTTAAAAGCAATGGCCAAAGGCTTCTTCACTCCCTAATCTCCTGCAACTGTCTTTGGCGTAGAAGACTCCTGACTTCAAGTTCCAAGCTGTTTTCCCCAGGCTCCTTCTTCCCCCACGGTACCGCACACCACTCTGCTACTTTTACGTTATTTCTACCCACAGCTTCCTTAATAATGAACTAATGTTTGAAAGCTCCTTTTGGTTTTTAATTTATTTTATTGGTATCTTTCCTCTTTCCTAGCTCTCAGTTGGAGATCCTCTAAGGATCTAAACTCTACTTCTTGTATTCCTCTTTGTAATTCATCTCTAGGCTGATGTTCAAATCCATGACCATTAAAATAAATAGATTCCTTACCTGTAACACTTAATAGATATTTTAAAAAAATACTTAACACAGAACATATTTGCTCTGTGAGTTCCTTATTCATCATTCATCATAATAGTGCCTGCCACTCAACAAATGTGTGTTGCATTGAGCTGAATCTTTAACAGCTCCATCTCTGCTAGTTATTTTTAATTTCTTCTTTGCTCACCATGGTCAATCAGTTGCCAGTAGATTCTAGCTCCAAAACATCTCTCCTCTCGGTTATCCCTTTCTTTTCCCACTGCCCTTGCATTACTTCAGGCTCTTATTATCTCTAGTGAGGTTGTTATAAGAATTAGTGAGATAATATATGTGTTGGTACTTCTTAAACTATGAAGTGCTAAAACAATAAAAATCTAAAGTATTATTTTGGTGATACCTTTTTTTAGACATTAGAAGGGTTTATTGATAATTTGTGCCATCTGCCTGATTCCAAAGCAAAATTTGAAACAATTCTACTACAATCATCCCTCCCTGGCATCTAAGCTCCTGTTTCCCCCCACAATCTATGATAACCAGCACTGCCTGGTTAATGGGGAGCTCTGACCACATCTCTTCCATGCTCAAAACTCCTAATAACTTCCCTACCAAACCCTTCTCAGCCTGGCCATTCAAGGTGCTTTACAAACAAACTTGACCAGGACTCATCATGTTTCCTATCTTATCTCCTGCTGCTCCGTTGTACATCAATTAAACTGGGCTGCTTAGTGTAAGTGTAGTTGCTGGGCAATTTCAGTGATCCAAAGGAAAGGCAACGAGAGGTGGGAACATGCAATAGACAGCATTCTCACACAACTTGGGAAGACCAGGGTTCAGGTCCCTGATTTGAGGAGGGTGTTTTGTTTAAAAGGCAGTGTACTGGAGGAGGTAAGACTGCTAGGGTTTGACTCTCAACTCTGTGTAACCTTGCACAGGACACTTTACCTAGCTAAGCCTAATTTACTGCCTCTGGAAATGGGGATAATAACTTGTAATGATTAACATAATGCTTATATATATTTTTTTTTTACTGTAAAAGTTTTTGGTTTTTTTTTTAAATCTTGCATATACTTGCAATGAAAATTGCAGAAGTTTGCAAGAAGAGACAATAGCTTATTCTTTTCTAAATACCTCGCCATCCTTGTGCAGAAAGGAAGCACTCAATAATTACTTGCAATGAATAACTAATTTACAGTCATAAATCATGGCAATTACTCTTTTGGGCTCAGGGTTAAGGTCCAAACACCTAAGAACTCTGCTCTCATCACTATCTAGTAACAGCTTAAGGAAGGCATAGAATCCTTTCAGATATTTTTGAGGAGCTCTAGGGTTTAGGAGAATGAGAAGGAAAGCATTATCAGGTAAGTACTAACTTGGGTTTTATGGGAGGCAGTCCAGGAGAGTAAAGCCAGGCATTCCAATCAACTTGATTGAGAGTATCAACCTGTGAACAGTTAGAATACCCAGTTTGCTACAGAATGGCCTTTTGTATTGGAAAAAAAAAATTAAGGCAAACTTTTAAGTCTTCAGATCTATAATTTTGTCTACTCTGCCATATCAATTTCTAAGTCTTTTATTTTTTAATTAATATTATTTTTAATAGATCATAATTATGTATATTTATGGGGTATGTGATGTTCTGATATATGTATATAATATATATTAAAAAAATCAAGCTAATTAACATATCTATCACCTCATCTAAGTCTCTCGTAAAATAGATTTATATTCATCACTAGTGTTGTTAAATAATTAAAATGGGAAAATTAAGCACAAACAAAAAGTTAACTTCTAAACCATATTACTAAGGATCTCTCTGAACTAGGAAAATTCTCCCTGTTAGTTCATGTGGTAGAGATCACTTTTTTTTTTTTTTGAGACAGGGTCTTGCTCTCTTGCCCAGGCTAGAGTGCCGTGGTGTTAGCCTAGTTCACAGCAACCTCAAACTGCTGGGTTCAAGCGATCCTCCTGCCTCAGCCTCCCAGAGTGCTAGGATTACAGGTGTGAGCCACTATGTCTGGCCGAGATCACATTTTAAATGGGAAAAAATGCAATGAAAAGTTGAATCTTACAACGAATTCTGAACCAATACTACTACTAAGTAATTCAAATTAGCTTAACAAGTAAGTCAATAAATATATATTGGGCATGAAAAATAAAAAAGCTTTTATTTCCAACCTTATCTTTAAAGTGGGAATACAGGAAATCCTTCCAATCATCAGTGGTTATGCTCTTGTAAGAAAATTTCTCAACATAAGCCTTTAGGAATCCTAGGAAAACCTCTAAGAGTGAAAAATTTAAAAAGAAAGAAATCAATTTGTACAAAGGTAATTATTTGACATTTTTTGTGCTTGGCATTATACTATTAACCCCAGAGAATAGAAAACATTCAAAGAATAGGTTTTTCAGAGTGAATGTTCGGAAATGGAGGTAGGATTTAAGTAGGGCCTTGAAGGAAGAATATTTGTAATTTGGTGGAAGGGAGAAGAGAATCCTGATTACAGGTAAGGGGATGACACATGAAGACACAGAAAAGAAATACCCAAGTTTTAAAAGCAATAACCTTTGTATGACTAGAAAGGAGGAAAACAGATGTAAGTGAGGCAGAGGCTCCAAAGCCAGTCAGCAAAAGAGAACACCTCAATGCCCATCCCCAGGGGAAGGGGACATAGACTCAGTGTATTATGATGGCATTAAAAAGTAGGAGACAGATTTATATTTCCTGACATAGAAGGATGTATGTGAAATATTGAGTGAGAAAACAAAAACAAATGCAGAATATATAGTATGATCTAGTTTTTATAATTAAAATCACTATACATCTGTATTTGTCTCTTGTTCATTAACACTTAAAAAACGATTTGGACACACCAAACTGCTAACAGTGGTCACCCCTGGGGGTGGAAAGAGGTTGATGGACTCTCACTTGTTACTCTCATAAATGTCTGTACCATAGAAATTTTTTCAGTGAAAACACACTATTATCCTAATTTAAAAAATACTGATGAGATTTTTTTAGTTAAGCAGAATAATTTAGAATTCGGAGGTTACTCAAGGTTTTAAGTGGAGCAATAATATTAGAAAATGATAAGGATTTCTTCAGTAGCTGTACACAGAATGAACTGGAAGTATAAAAGGGAGCAAAATCAAGTTTGTAATTCTTCCTTATTCTTCACATTGCCCTCAAAAAACAAAACAAAACAGAACAAAAAAACATAAAATGCCAACTATTTACCTGGTCCTCCAAGAAGTTGTTCAAGGTAAAAAAGTAAAGCAAAGCCCTTCTCATAGGGAACTGAAGAATATGCTACATCAGGGTCTACGTCCGTCAGATCCACCACAAGCTTGGTGAATGGATGTGTCTCCCCAAAAGTCTTTATCTGCAAGATACAAAGTAAGATGAATGCTCTAAATGAAGACTGGTGTCACCATGCAAACAAGGTACTAAGGAAGTATTACTCCACTCAGTGGCATAACTTTAGGGGAATCTAGAACTTACACAAATTGAGAGAATGGAAATACTAGGATACGTTGGCATAAATTTCTGGAAGTCTATTAACAGAATGGCTAGTTACGTGATGTTCCCTAATATATTTCACTCAATGATAGGCTTTATTCATTTTTTTTTTTTTTTTTGGAGACAGAGTCTTGCTCTGTTGCCCAGGCTAGAGTGTCGTGGCATCAGCCTAGCTCACAGCAACATCAAACTCCCGGGCTCAAGCAATCCTTCTGCCTCAGCCTCCCAAGTAGCTGGGACTACAGGTATGTGCCACCATGCTTGGCTAATTTTTTTCTATATATTTTTAGTTGTCCAGATAATTTCTTTCTATTTTTAGTAGAGACGGGGTCTCACTCTTGCTCAGGCTGGTCTCGAACTCCTGACCTTGAGTGATCCTCCTGCCTTGGCCTCCCAGAGTGCTAGGGTTACAGGCGTGAGCCAACGCACCCAGCCTAGGCTTTATTCTTATAAAAAGACTAGGAAAATGATTCACTGCCTGGTCTGCAAATTTGGCTTTTGGGAGAAAGCATTTAAAAATGACACAAATATACCAAATAAAATTCAAACACAGTAACCAGCTACATCAATAACAAAGAGCCAATGAAGTCTTACAGCTCCTAATTCAGACCAGGTCAGGAATACTATCTTACACAGGACAATGAATGACATGGATCAACAGGGTATCATACTGGCCTCTGCTTCATTCTCTACAGCTGTAAAAATGACTTTTTTGTTGCTATTTGGTAAAGATGCTTTAGAAAAACTCAATTTTTGAACACCTCTGCAACTTTGGATGAAGGCTTTTAAAAGTGTGACTCATTTACCGAATTCTGTAGTTCTCCCCATCCTCCCAGAGCGTGAAAATGTCTGAACTTTTCACCAAACAATCGTCCACAAATGTGGCGTTCCAAGTACACAGTATGTCCTTCATTTAACCTGGGAAAAGTTTAAAAAATAAAAACACTGACACAGCTGAGAGGAAAAGGCATTTTCATCAAGCAGATATTTTCTTTTTGGCTTTTTTACAGAGGAAAGCAGTTGAAGAGCATGACCACTACCTTCTAAGCAGACTGTCCACGTGGCTCCCAGAGCAGTGGGAAACCCAGCCCGAAAGATGGCAGGAAGGAAAGGTAAGCTACAGTTCTGGTTTCACACGTCCATGTATTAAAAAAGTGACTACAGCGGGAACTAATAACAAACATAAACTTAACACCTAGACTGTACCTAACACTGTGACAAGTGTTGCAGAATTAAAAAAAAAAAAATCCTCATGTACCAATGGGCTGGTAACAAAGAAAAACAATAAGCACATACAAAACAATTCAGAGTGGTGGGAGGCAGGAAAAAATAATCAATAATGAGAACCAATAATAATAAAAATCTTACCAAAAGTGATCCCAAGTTTTGTTGGTCACTAGATTTCCTGTCCAACTGTGAGATATTTCATGTGCAATAACCTAAGGAAACAGTACAAGTGATTAACAGTAAAACTGATTACCTTAAACTAAAATAACCCATTATTTAAGCACTCTTGTTCTTTCAACTTTGCGTTATTCAATTTTTTTTAAACATTAGCTGAGATATTCAGGGAGTTACTCAGTTCAGCAAAAAACTGTAATTTAACCAAAGACCAAAAAATATGACATAGTTAAAATAATCTAAAACAAAAATATTTAGAAAATATTAAATGAATATATCACTTGCATTAAAAATACTTCATAATCAAGAGATCAAACCGTAAAATCTCCTTAACTCTATTAAATTTAATTGCTAGTGTAATAATATCTTGTGATAAGAGTCCCCAAGTACCTTTTATAACCATATCTTTAACATAACAATATAACGGATATTTTAAAATCGGTTGACTTAATATTTCATTAGGGTAAGGCCATAGTAAGAAATTTTAACTTACATTGGAGAGTGATTTGTCACCTGCCTATTAAAAAGAAAGAAAATTACCTTAGTATTTCAATAATTAAATTATTAACTATATCTAATAATAGACTGCCTACCTCAACATTAGTAACCTGGCATGGATGGTCCACTGAACTTCTACTAGAGCACTTCAGAGAGTTCAAAAGAGATGTGTATTGAGAACCCAAAACAAATAAATGCACAACTAAAAATTAGCAGCATTCTTTCTTGCCCTAATCCTAGGGAATTTTGGTAATACAAGGAGGGTCAATATACTTGTCTCTAATTAACTTCCATAAAACATTTCTCCTACTTTCATTGTTTTATATCTGATCTTGTTTACCTATCACCTTTCTCTCTTTATTGCCCACAATATATTTAAGAAAAGTTGAGAGTATCCTATGTGTCCTGTGGTGCATTTTATTTATTTAGTTGCTAATCCATTACTTACTTGGTTCTAAGAAGAATTTAAAGTAGCTTACAAGGCATACAAAACATAGCAATATACTGTGGGCCTAATCCTTTCCCATACGTGGTGCACTGAATTTTTTTTTACCAATGCCTACAAGCCAAGTATAAATGGTATAGTTTCTCTGTTTGGATACATAATTCACCAATAGATTGTTGTTATATAGCACCCCCATCCCCAACATCCCAAACATCCTGAACATAATACTCTCTTTCCCCAAGTGGCCAAATTATTTTCCTTTAAAAAATGAGAGTTTGATAACCACAATAAGCAATAAAATTAAAAACAAGGGTTATATAAAGAAGAGAAAAGATTTTTTTAAAAATATTATTAGATCTCTAGGGTTCTTCCTAGCTAGGTTTATTTTTGAGAAGACCTCAATTTCAAACAAAGAAATATTTATACTTACCAATAGAGTAGGGGTTACAAAAGTAAGGCAAGGATTCTCCATGCCACCATAAGGGAAGGATGGTGGCAGGACCAACAGGTCATACTGTCCCCACACATATGGTCCTCCCAGATCTTCTGCAATTTTAAGCATAGATTCAGTCTGAAAAATTAATGCATACATATTTGTATGTCTTAATTATTACAGTAGTAAATTCTTAAAAGTGTATATTACTTTCTATGAAGTTACGAGTTAATGATGCTTATTTTAAATGAAAATGATGAAAAGAATGTAGCAACTGCAAACTCACACATAAAATAAGGCGTATTTGATTATTTCACCAAATCACTTAAAACCATCACATTTCACACTCAAAATCTTCAATCTACTGTCTACCAAAATTATTAAAAAGGATAACTATATGACCAACCTCAGAAAATTCATAAGCAGACTTTTCCACCTGCTCTTTTTCAGACCATACCAAAGTTCTTGGGCCAATTTGCCTGTAAAATTAAAAAGCTTAATAAAAAAGAATTCACGGCAAATTACTCACCTGGTTCTGGGAAGGATTTAAATTTAGTCTTATACACAAACCCCTATAGTAGGAGTAGATTTACCATGTGTTTACAGGGAAGGGATGAGGTTAAACGGCCTCTCTGAGATGCAAACCTGCTGTTGTATATGTAGCAACAGAAATGCAGCTCTCGAAGGACGTACAGTCTGGGTCAAAGGAAAACCAAGACATAAAGTGTCCCCAGATTAGCTTACTGGCTTTGGTAAGATTTCTGGGGGTCTAGTTTCCTTCCTCAGTCTCACAACCGGAGAAAGCCAGTTGCAGGTCCTAAAACACTATTCCAGAATAGGAGTGGATATAAACTTTGTTATGCACTTAAAGTTTAAATATTCTTTATATAAGAAGAATCAAATAGGAAAGGAAGGAAATCCTGTCACTTACTGCAACGTGGATGAACCCTGAATACATTATGCAAAGTGAAATAAGCCAGTCACAAAAAGATAAAATCACACTGTATGATTCTGCTTATGTGAGGTATCTAAAGTAGTCAAATTCATAGGAACAGAAAGTAGAATGGTGGTTACTAAGGGCTGAGGGGAGTGGGGAGGAGAGAGTGTAGAGTTTCAGTTTTGCAAGATGAAAAAGGTCTGAAGATCTATTTCACAATAATGTGAATATACTTAACACAGTACTGAACTGTACAATTAAAAATAGGTAAGTGTGCTTAGAAATTAAGAACAAACAAAACATTAAGAAGAAAGGGCACTTTAGCTTTGGTAAAATGTTAACAAAATATCTTACATGTTTGTAATATTTGTAGACTTTCAAGTGCTTTCATATATTCTATCTCATTTGTTTCACATACCAACCCATGAGGTAGGAAAGGCAGATATTATAATTTCAAGGATGAGGAAATGGAGATTAAGAGAAGTGACTTGTTCAAACTTACATTAGAATCCAAATCTCTAACTAAAGGCAAGAGCACGCTCATTTTACAATATTTGGAAAATCTAAGGAGTAAGTGATAAAGATTTTTAAATTTAAAATTAATTTGTGGCCTACATTTTATATTTAGATTTGAATTTTTCTAGAGCTGTCACCCTGATATTTTGAGAAATACACAAATGATCTACAAATTAATTCTGATGCCTAAGGTTTGACTTTTTCACAAACCTTAAAATTTGTTCAGAAGCTCACCTGCTTTCTAAAGCTCCAACAACCAAAGCAATCAGGTAGCAGGGTATTGGAACCTAAAGGGACAAACACACACACCACATGCTTGCATTAGTGCTCAAAAATGTTACAGAGTAAGAAATTTGTATTTAAAATTAAATCTCCAAATATTAGCATGGATTACTTTTCTTTTATACTTCTCCACTAGTTCTTATTTTTACCAAATAGTTTAAAATTATGATGCAAAGCATTTCAATATAGCTATTTCCCTTTTATTCCACTAGAAATGAAAGCTGCTGATGTGAAAAACATGATTGCACATATATTAAAATGTACATTTTAAGCATTTCTCAAAAAATAACCTATAAGGAGGCAACTGTGCTTTTCCCTGGTGTTTTTTCCTCCTCGTTTCTAAAACATCTTTTTATGTTTACTTTTATTCCTTTATTTTTTAAACCACTACTGGCATATTACAGAGACATACAAAATAATCCCTAAGTGGATGCCAAAGTTATAGGAGCTTGAAATCCCAGAAGCTGGGATGTGAGCAAAATTGTTCGTTGTGATGTCAATTAAAAAACAGACATACACACATACACACACACACACACGCACACGCACATACATTATTCTATTCATTAAAGGTCAATGATACAAGTCCAATTACCAGCTACACAGAAATTTTAACTTACAGGACTGTAACAGAGAGCTTTTTTGGTCTAAGATAGTTCCTCCATTTTTAAACACTCTCTACAGCCACATGCCAAAGTGTAATGACATAGAAGAACAGGAATCTGCCTGCTACTGACCAGAAAGAGGGGAAATGGAATTAGACACACTCCCTCCTGTCTACCTGGCAACCTCTTTCTTCCATATAATACTCTCCCTAAGTGGAACAAAATCCTTTAAAAAGCACAAAAGGAAAAGAATGAAAAAAACAAAAACCAAAAGCTGCTCTCTAAATTCTAAAATATTTCAAAGGCAATTTTGCTCTCTGGATGGGTAGAAGTTATTTGTAGTTCACCACCAACTAAAACAAAAATCTAGACCCTGTGATCTTACTTTTTGGCTGAATCTGTATATTTTCCTGCTTGGATCTTCTGGGTCAGGTGCTTCTCCGTCACGAATAGCACTCATAAGTGCCACCAGTTCTTTAGGGACAGACACCTAAAGGAGAAGAAAAGTCATTTCTAGTTAGAAAATAAAAGGTTCTATGTATCTTAAACTATTATATGTAAACTAACCTTTTCTTTCACTTCTTGATTATCCATATAATAAACAGACTATGAACTCAAAAAGTATGTATACATCGGTTTTGTAAACAGAATTAGTGATATGTAAAACTGGCTTCTTTAAAAACGAATGTGAAATATCTATCTTTCCATTCATCCATGCATATTAGAAGTACAATTTTGGTAGAAACTAGATTAAAATCCCAGCTCTGCCACCTACTAACTGCACAGACTTGGGCAAATAACTTCCCTGAGCCTCAGCTTTCCCATCACATGAGGGTAAAACTTCATAGGTTTGCTGCAAGGAATAAATAATATAAGTGAAGAGCTCCGTGCCACTCCTGGCAATGGAAGCCAATACTCCTGCCCCCCTCCACACCGCCAAAACAGATTCTAGAGGATGCTAAACTCACTGTAGGATGGAGAATACAGTTTTGAATAATTTTATATTTAAAACATATACTTGGAGTTACAAATAGAACTTTTTAAGGGTAGTAACTGTGAAAAACCAAAACTTATTGCCAAAAACTGTGAAATAATTTTCTTTGGAAATTTATATGGAAAAGATCCTTATGGGGCAAACCTATGGTCACTTAAGTGTATACCCTAGTTCCATGATTCTGGAAATTTTTTCTTTTTTTGAGGCAGGTTTTCACTCTGTCACCCTGCGTAGAGTGCTGTGGTGTCATCATAGCTCACTACAACCTCAAACTCCTGGGCTCAAGTGATCCTCCTGCCTTAGCCTCCCAAGTAGTTGGGACTACGGGCATGTGCCACCACGCCTGGCTAACTTTTCTATTTTTTGTAGAGATGGTAGACTTGCTCTTGCTCAGGCTGGTCTTGAACTCCTGACCTCAAGTGATCCTCCTGCCTCAGCCTCCCAAAGTGCTGGGATTATAGGTGTGAACCACCGTGCCTGGCCTGAAAGTTTTATTTCTAATAAATGCCAGAATAAAGGACCACCTCTGAGTATGGATGATCTAGCAAGCATGTATTTCAACAAATGCTAGACTTCCATGTTCTTCTTGTAAGGCTCAGGACTCAAACCTATTACTGAGACAGGCATAGGATTGGGAGCTCTTGAACCAGTGCAACAACAGTCATAGATCCTAAAGCTAAAAAGCATTCAGGAAATAATTTGGTTTAGCCTCCTCCCATCATTTAGGTAGTGATATGATATATATCTGAGACAACTGAGGTTGTGAGGTCATAAGACTCACCCAAGGTCACACAGTTAGGTGGTAGAGAAGATTTCAGAACCCTAGGATTCTTTGCTTCCAACTATGATATTCTATAGCACTATACTAGGTATAATTTGGTTGTAAGATGATTGGAGAATCAAGAAAGTCTGACAAATACAGGTTGGTCCTCAATCTATTGGCTTGGTCTAAGTAATTCTAGCCTCTGGGATAGTGTGTATTTATTAATTTAGTTCACATTTTCCTAAAAGGATTAGCAGTACCTGTAAGAGGAAACAGTTAGAATTCTAAACGGACAAGTCTGCAATATAGGCCCATTAGAAATACCTAGATAGATGTTTATATTGCTACAGAATACATTCCCAAAAACTTTAATTCTGCAAATGTCAGTTTTTAAAAGTTAAAAGATAATTGTTCCTCCATTCTTGCTTTTAAAGCCAGAATTCCTTTTGAAAAATCAGAATGGTTCCCATTTCTTTTTTTCACACTTATAATGTTTAAAACTGCCCTTATAGCAAAGATTCAGAATGAGCTATAGAGCCTCTTTTTTATATATTACAGGTAGAAATTTCATTAAGTAAAATATTTCTAGCTCTAAAAATTCAATTATCTCAGCCTATCACTTATACCATTATTTATGTATATGGATCATTTAATTCAGTTAATATTTGTGATATTTACCTCTGCAGTGTAGGTTAATTTCACAGAAGGAGTGTCCTGGCAAGGAAGAATTGCTCTGCAATGGATGGCCTAGGAGAGGGAGAAAGAAAAATAGCTATTCCCGTTTCTTATAAATCAAGTCATTAAGAAGTCATTAAAATTACAGCACTGTTCTTAGACATATTCTTCTAAAAAATAAAAACAGGTCTCTCCCTTCTTGGGATCTTTTAAAGTAGCAAAAACAGATTTGTAGATTAAAAAAAAAATCAGATTTTCTGTTTTATTTATTTATTTTTTTAGACAGAATCTCGCTCTGTTGCCCGGGCTAGAGTGCCGTGGCGTCAGCCTAGCTCACAGCAACCTCAAACTCCTGGGTTCAAGCAATCCTTCTGCCTCAGCCTCCCAAGTAGCTGAGACTACAGACATGCACCACCATGCCCGGCTAATTTTTTCTATATATTTTTAGTTGTCCAGTCAGTTTCTTTCTATTTTTAGTAGAGACGGGGGTCTCATTCTTGCTCAGGCTGGTCTCGAACTCCTGAGCTCAAACGATCCTCCCGCCTCGGCCTCCCAGAGTGCTAGAATTACAGGTGTGAGCCACCGTGCCCGGCGAGATTTTCCATTTTAATCTACGCTCAACTCTCACATTTCAGCTGAAGCACGGAGCAAACTGTTAAGCAGTGTTTCCTACATTATTCTCTGAGCAACAGCGGTACCCAGTGAGAAGCTCTTAGGAACCCTGAAAAAAAGGGCTCTATAGTGAAATAAACTTGGGAACCGTGGCATATTACATCCCTGTCTTGCAGGTCAGTAGGAACAGTAGCTTCCTGAAGGCTCTGAAAAGACCTGCAATAAAGAAACCTGTTTGACTTCTTACATTTACAGATACTCACACAGAGATAGATATTCAGATATTCGTAAGAGGTAGAGAGTACACAATTTGTATATTCTTGACCAGAACTTGATATATCTTCCAGATTATTGAACGAAGGGTTTCTTAGATTAAAAAGATATACCAAATGGCTACAGAAAGTAAACAGGTTGAATTCATGTGCCAATTCCTTTTTTATAGACTTGCATTCAAAATTGAGCCTAACACACAGGAATAGTGGGAGCATTAAATATGCAAAGTACCAAGCAAAATGCTTGGAATTATAGTAAATGTTTAATGAAGTGAGTTCCTTTAATTGTAAATTATTATGACAAGAATTAGGTCTTTTTTTCTTTCAGAAGCCAGTTTCATAATTATTATCCTTGTGACAGACTGTTTCTAATTGCACGGTTCTTTACTCTCAGTTTTTAAACAGAAAATAGATGTAAGTTAAATTATAACATTTTAAAGGCACATTTAATATATTTATATAATATATACATTTGTAAATGCATAAGAAAAATATGTTAAGGCTACATTCCAAACTCAATGGTGGTTACCCCTGGGCAATGGTGTCTGGAGAGCGTTAGGAAATTCAATCTTTCACATGACATTTCTTTACTGTTAGCATTTTTCATACTCAGTACACATTACTTTTGTTTATTAATTTTTCATTTCATTTTATGACCATCTGAGTGCCTATTCTATGCCAAGTTCTATGCTAGGTGCTGGGGATATAAATGTAAGTAAACTTAGATAGTCCAACTAGGTGGACATGTTTCCAAACTAAAGGAAGCTTCTTTTTAAAATAATATATATGAATGTGTTAATAATGACAGGTACAAATCAAGATATATTTTTTTATAATATAAAATCAATTAAAATACTCTATTAGGTAAAACCCACATATCCATAAGACCACTGTCTATTATGCTTCCTTAAACTGCATGCCCTGGGAATTTTCTGCATCATAAATCATTCTGGAATCCTTACCTGGCACTGACTAAAGAGGTATGGGTGCTCCTTCCCAGAAGTTTGTTCAGGAGTGAGCCACTGAAGAGCAGAAGATTTTGGAGATGTCTCAAAAGAAATTTCTATGACAACTTCTTGATTTCTGTATGAAACAAATACATCTATTAGTAGAGTATAATTCCATCTAAAATTTGAATTCATAATACATACCCTGAATAATGTAAATAATACCATATGAGTTTTCGTTATTGATTCAGAGTGAGCTCTAGGAATGCTGCATCCCAAGTGGGTAAGTTTCCCACCTGAACGCCAGCCTGTGGGTCCTTTTCACTCTACCATGCTAACTAACGATAAGGGCGTAACAGGAAATAGTATTAGTTGAGTACCCCACTGTGTGTTATAAACTTTGCATTTCGTGATATCATTCAATCTCGTATGACAGTGGGAACATGGAAGAAACAATTTTGAAGCTTCAGCTACCACGGTGGCAGGTGCCAGAGCATGACACAGAGCAGTGTGGTCTGCGAGCTGTCACTGGTCCAAGGCAAGATAAGTCAAGATATCGAGAGTTAGCATTTAGAAACTTCTAGAGTCATTTTGATGCCTGTTGAATCTAATAATAAAAAATACGTGCTTGTATTTAACCTCTTCTTCCTCATAATCCATTTTTATTACATTTTACAAAAGTATCCATCTATGACAGATGACAAAAGTGATCCTGCACCCCATATAGTTTGAGAAACACTGATAATGGGGAAACAGCAAGAGCTCTGGAGACCAGCAGCCCTGCCTGTGTTTGAATCCTGACTCTACCACTTACTGGTGCCATAAACGTGGGCAAATTATTTGACCTCCCTATGCCACGGTTTCTTTGTCTGTAGAAAGGGGTTAATGACATTTACCTCACAAGTTATGCCTGGGTGTTTCTCTTTCTTAAATAGGATGAGAGGGCATGAAGACATTGGCCACTGAATGATGGGGGCTAGATCAGCCTTGTTCTAGGCCAATAGTTTTCACCCTTTTCCCCTCCCCAATATATTAAGAGGTAGGACATACTCTTAACATGACAATTTTAGTTGCCACTTTCTTGAATAAGTTACTTTATCTCTCTAAGGTTTCCTTTCCTCATCTGTCAAGTGTAGATCATAACATATGGGGTTACTGTCAGGATTAGGTAAAAGAATGCACCTGAAGCACTTATCCCAAGATTGGTACACAGTAACAGTTCTTATGATGGCATGCCCCCATTATCACTCTAGACATTAGTAAAATGATGAGTAATTAAAGAAGTAACAGTTACCCAAAGTCCCAGTCTTGAGTATTTTATACAATAAATGTCTTTACTATCTTAAGAACATATAATTCTCACTACTGTATAAACTTCAAACTGAACAGAAGATCAGTAGGAGTAGTGTACCAATTACTTCCCATACACAAACTAAAATAAAAAAAGAAAGGAAAAAATGTCTAAATTAATTAAAAATATATTTTCCCCATTATTTAGCTATAAAAGAAAAAGAGGATAACATGCATACTTGCTCAGAGCAATAGGAAGAGAAATTTCCATTGGTGATCCCTTGTAACTTTGTCTTTCTCCGAGAGCATATTTGACTTCTTGTCCATTGATCACTACTTTTTCTATTGTAAGGTCCTTTGTATCCAAAATCTAAAATTAATATTTTTAAATAATAAGAAAATAGTTTTAGATACCAGAGAAAACTAGTATGGGAAATAGGTTACTACAGTGATTATAGAGTGGAACTAATTGCTTACAGAGAGTATAAAATACAGAGTGAAATCACAAGAATTAAAGGAGTCAAAAGTTAGTATTGGTCTTATCATTTGGGACCCTAAGCTTCCTGAAAATTTTTGGGTCCTAAGATTTGCATATATATTGTTAAGTAACTCTAGGATAGCCACACAAATTTTGGGCTTTAAGTAAAAGTCTAAATTAAAATGCCTTTGCTTCTGTCTCCTAAAACTTAATTTCTGTTATAAAAACTTCACCTTCAACTTAAGTTTCTTTCACTCTAACTCCTCAATATATCTCGCCCTATATTTCCTCCTAGGATTCAAACTCATATGTACTTTCATATATCCATATACAGGGTTTTATGCCATGGGTTTTGTTTCTCCTATCTTTATTCTCTCTTCTTCCAAATTATTTAATTATTTTAAATCTTATTACACTGTGTATGTTGTTTTAAGCAGTCTCAAATTCTTTCTGGAACAAAGCAGGGTTAAAAAAAAAAAAGCCTTATGCCTCACTATTATGTTTCTATTTACATTTTCTACTTGTTATCCACAAAGTGCTATGATGAAAAAACCACAGGCTTGTGTGTTAAAAACAAAACTAAAAACAAAAACCACCTTGATGTGATTCCCAGCACAGCCATTTATTTTGTGAAGACCAGAGGGTTTGCGGTCAGAAAGACCTGTGTTCAACTGCAACTGCTGGTTTCCCCCACTTACTAGTCTATGTGATCTTGGCCATGACACTAAAACCTCACTGAGCCACCAACTGAAAGAAAAAATTCTGAAAGTTTCAATAAAAAGAGAGAAATGTTTGCAAATTATCACAAATTTTGAGTACCAAACTTCAGTGTAAATAAACCAAAACTTGAAAGATTTTAGAAAGCTAGGAATTAGTCCTGTTAGAACTCCCTCAGCATTCCCCAGCATCACAGACTTCAAGAATGGAGAGGAAAAGAAGATGTGAAGTCTCTCCTCACCTAGCACTGGAACTGGGTCTTGCTATCTCACTTTTGAGACAGTTTGTACTATTATCCCTGTAGCCCATATGAAGCTTTGGCACTATTTTCTTATGGAATTCATCTATTAATCAAACTTTTGAGTGAGCTCTACATGTTAGGCGCTATACTAGGAATTTGAGACACTATGAAACATAGTCCCTACATAATCTAGTAGAGGAAAGAAAAGAAGCCAACTTTAAATAAATATGAATAAATAAATAATGAGAACTCTTGGTTTCAGGTTATTGTCATAAGTAAGTAAACAATTATAAACAGATGTTACTTTGTACTACAAATTGCCTTGTATAAAATCTAACATTATTATAATTTCAGGCTCTAATTTGCTAAACAAATGTGACAACCAGAAATCATAATTTAAAAATCTTACTCCTCTCTAGATTTGGGGAATGTAAAACAACGAACAGGTTTTTAGATTGGGACATTCTTTTCAAAATGTAAACATCCCTGACTCTTGCTTACTTAAAGGAACAGAGGTAAAGCTTTTATTTTTACAAAACAGAGAGTGCAAGGCCATATTAAGCAGCAATGAGCTATCAAAATTCACTTTCCTTTAATAAAAGGAGAGACTGCATTGAAGTAGGACTTCACGCCAGTCCTGCCTGGGCAAAACTGCCACTGCATGCTACTTCAGGAAGACCAAAGTGCAACTTACAAGGAAATAGTTACCTTCTTGCTTATAATACTTTTATTTATTTTCTTTCTTATAGTACTTTTGGTAATTACATATCGGTACATAGAGGAGTAGACCTATTTTTCAAATCAATTAATCTATTAACATGTTAAAAGACAAAGAGAAAGTTAAGTGCTTTATTATAATAATTCATACTAATGAACGCAAAATACAGATCTATTGCATAAATAGGAAAAAGAGGCACAAAACCCACCAATTCTTATCTGTACTTATAATTCTACCCAATTATTTGACTCCACTAATTTCCCTCCTCAAACCTACAACATACTTGGTCCAATTGCTAATTGCTGTGTTTGAGTAGATCTCATCACGATACACTGTGCAAAACACACTGTGTTGTCATTCTACCCTGGTGAGGAAGCCGAATATGGCTGGTCTTTTTATGTCCCTCTTAATTCTAAAATGCTCTTCTACGAAATTCTTCAAGTGAAAGGTGCAAACCAAACACTATCAACCCATTTGAGTATAAACGTAGGTTATAGGCCATAGATAAAATCACTGAATAACATTCCATGAATCTAAACGAATCTTCATTCAAATGATTAGAGAGCTTGTAAAAGTATGTATTTTCTAAGAAATACAATAATTACTTCCTCCTTGGAAGCAACTATCAATAAAGCATACTGAGTCATCCTTAGAAAGCTTGAACGTTCCATCTGTCCTTAAATTATTAGAAGATGCTAAGAAGGGTGATAGGAATCAAAGGTAGAAAGGACGCTGAAGAAAAAGAGCTGCACCTAGAGTTAGAAAGCAGAGACTGTTAGTTTCAAAGCAAGGCTGAGAGAAGGGGTTTCGCGCCGGGAATCCTAAGAGATTTGAGAACTACCAGCAGGGAGATCGAGGGAGCTGGGCAATCGGTCGCATCCTGCAGACCTGAGGGTTTTAATAAAGTGCCTGGGAGGGAAAAGTGGGATCAGGGATCGACAGAACATGGGATGATGAGCCTAGACTGAGGAAGGTGCGCTGGGGGCTGGGAGAAGTCTGGGGCCTGAGGAGGGGGTTCTGGGCTGCAGGCCGAGGAAATGGGGAGGCCACGGGGAATTAGCCTTGGGAACTAGGATTCTGAGGGACTGTTGCAAAGACGAAACCCGAGGGCTGGGTGAGGAGAGAGGCGTGGATAGGGCGCCGGGATGTGCCCAGGGACTGGAGAGTGGATCGGGGAGAGGGGTGGAGAAGACGTAGGTGGGAGTGAGGGCAGGGACACAGAGGCAGGCGTACGTGGGGCTGAAGAGGGCATGCTATGGGGTGAGTGGGGGCTGAAGAGGAGGTGCAGAACAGGGGTTGGGTGGGGACTGCGGAAGAGCAGACGCGGCGTGGGGCTAGGCAGGGGTAAGCCGGAGCCCCCGGGAACGAGGGGCGAGGGGCGGGTGGCCGGGAGAGGCGGGCACCGGGCAGACGTCCCACCGTACCAGGCTGCGCAGATTGTCCTCCTGGGACTGGACCGTGAGCGCGGCGGTCCCAGTCAGCGCCCGGCGAGTGAAGTCGACGCTGCAGCGCAGGTGCAAATGCTTGGTCTGGCAGATCGAAGCTGGAGAGGCCAGAGAACAGGTATCCACGACCTCCGGCATGGCTCCGGGGGATCGCGCCGCAGACCGACCCGCACCTCACACTCAGCAGCCAGGATCCGATCGGAGCAGAGGAGGCGGCCGGGGGGTGAGGAGGTAGGTAGAGAAGAGGAGGAGGGGTTCGCGGCGCATGCCGGGAAAAGAAGTTCTCTGAAGTCGGAGGAGCGAGGGGCCGGCGAGGACTGGACCAAAATTCCCGTGGTGCAGCGCGACGAGGCCGAGGCCTGCGCTTCGCTGCCTGGGAGCGTGCGTGTCGGGGAGGGTGGGGGGACCGAGATTGCTTTTGGAGGCCGAGGAGAGGGAAGAACCGGAGGGAAGTAGGGGCAGGAGAGAGGGTTGGGCTGAGGGAAATAAGTGGAGCCGGAGAGCAAATTGAACGCTTCCACATTAGTTCTATCTGACTTTGGTGGAAAGTATGATGGCAACAAAGGAAAAAAACTTGTTGGTAGTTGTGTGTAGTGAGGGCGGGGCGAAGTCAAAAGGTTTGTCGGAAGGCCATCTTCTGTGCGGTTCCTCGTTAGTATAGTGGTGAGTATCCCCGCCTGTCACGCGGGAGACCGGGGTTCGATTCCCCGACGGGGAGGCACAAGGATGTTTTTTTCCCCCAATCAGCAGTAAAATTCGTATTTTAAAAGCTGTTTTGTTGCTGGGTTGCAAGTAAGCTCAAGTCTGTCAGTTTTACTGTTTATCAGGTAAATTTCCAAGCCTTGGGCGTCTAAAACAGAAAGCCAACATTCCCATCTTAGAAACTGTAATGATTTCTGTTACAGAAGTGAAGTGTGCACTGGCGGCAGTGGGAATGTAGAGCTGGGACTTCTACCTCAGCTCTGGGGCCCCTCCGGGAGGTTAGAGAATGCAAAGGAAGCCTTGCTTTTAGAGCGGGGCCTCAGACCTGAAACTAGAGAAATTGGAAGAGGACAAGTCTCAAAGGACCTTAAACCTGTTTTCCAACCTGTTTTCACTGCTCTTCTCTTTACACACTCTACTTGGGTTGAGCTTTTAATCCTGGGCTTTTAATCCTGAATGCATGAATGGGGGACCCATTGAAGAATTTTAAGGAGGGGAGTGCCATGCATGATAGGATTCATGTTATAAAGAAAGCACTGGTAGCATTCAGAAAATGAAAATGAAAATGAGATATCAAACCAGAAGCAGGAGAGTTAGGAAACTATTAAAATAGTCCAGGCAGAAAATGCTGGGGCCCTGACACACGTAAGTAATAAGTAATAAGTTAGAATAGAGAGGAAGGAATTAGAGAGGAAGGAATGAGTGGTGGGAATACTTGAGAGGTAGGTGGATTCACAGATTGAGAGGAGCCTAAGATGACTGTCAGATTTTTGGCTTCAGTGGCTGGGTAATCATTAACCAGAGGTGTAGACTATATGAAGAGGACAGATTTCAGGGGAAGATGCCAAGTTCAATTTTGGACTTGGCGGTTTGAAAACCTACGGGAGTCAAAGTGGAGATGTCCATCAGTCACTTGGATATGCAAGTCTGTAGCTCTGGGGAAGTGTCAGGTAGGTATGACAACATCACATGTGCAATAGAAGAAATTATGGGGTAAGCTCAACCCAGGTAGAATATGTAAAGAGAAGAGCAATGAAAACAGGTTGGAAGCTGGGAGAACAGCAGAATTTAATTTTTTTAAAAGGGAGCTAGAGGAAGAGAAACCCATGAATAAACTAGAAAGAGCCAGCCAACAATGTCAAATGCAGCCCAGGGGGCCACTAAAGTAAGGAGTGAAGATTCTCCTTTGGATTTGGCAGGAAAGTGAGGGTGGGAAGGTGGTGGCTTTGTTGCCTTTCGTGGTTTGAGAATAGTGGATTGAGCAATGGAAGAGAAGAGGGGAAGTAGAACATAAGCCACTGTCAGGATACATGGTCTCCTCACAAAGGGAAGATAAAAGGGGTAGCTAGAGAGAAATGCAGCATTGGGAAAGGTTTTGTTTTGCACGAGAAACTTTAACATATTTAGATATAGAGGTGAAAGCGTTTCTAGAGATGAGCAAAATGAAGATTTAAAAAGTGTGATCGATTGGGTGTGCTGCTACAGTTCCATCCTCTATCAAAAATGATCTAACAATTAAATTTGGCTCCAGCAACAGAAAAAGATGCTATGAATTTGGGTATCCTTGTGTTGGCCTCTGCAAGCCAAAGGAAAACAAAAATATCCCCCACTATGAAATCCAGTACCTTATACATGCACAGGTCCTAATTTCATATGGCCTGAGAATTGATGATGTGATCAACATTTGCAAACATTTTTTAAGGTTGCCAAATCTTGGGTTACATATGATACAATAGAATTAATTTAGTTAAGTAATACAGAATCAAATCATCTTCTTTAGCTAGTATGGAGAAAGGATAGTTTGTTTTAAAAAAAGACTGTCAATATCATCTTCCATTATTGATTACCAGGAACCCACAGGGTTTATACCACTCGTGTTCAAAAAATATATCCACAGAAAACCACAAATGAATTCCTCAATTGATTAATATATTCATTAAAAGACAGATATACAATAGCAATTGTTTTCTAAGATACCACTGACCTCCAAAACAGAGTGTACAAAATTAGCAATTCACAAACAATAGGAGTATTTTTTATACCTAATGGTAGATTGGGAATGCTTTTAAAGATGAGGCTTTCCATTCCATCTATAAAATAAAGGAAATATCAGGTTCTATCTACCAAAGGAGAGTTAATTAAGGATGAAAAAAATGATCTATATAAAGTTTTATGAAAAGAAATAGTACATATATTTATAGAGCCATATGAACAGGAAGTATTCCAGCCATGCTGCTCTCCTGGAAAAGTTACTTATCCCTCAGGATAATTGAGGTACACATGCCTCACGGGGTTGTTGGAAAGATGAAATGAGATAATGTATGGGACGTGCTTAGCACTGTGCTTGGCACAGAATGAGCATTTGTTATCTGTTAGCTAGTAGTGTTATTGCTATTGGCTTTTATTTTGTCTATTTTGATCATTTTAATATTTATTTTTTCTTGTTTTGTTAGCAACAGCTTTTAGGAAGACCTGGGACTTGAGAAGCAACTGAGGTTTGTACAGCAAAGCAGGTCCTACCAAATTAGGCCTCTAAAAAGGAATGGCAACATTAGCAAAGATCATATGTTTTGAAATGCATTTACAGGAAATTTCAGTTGGTACACTAAGACTTCCCTTAAAAGGGTATAAAGACTTCACGTTATTTTCTCCCCTTCCTTCACATACACCTTTCCTTTCTTTGAATATTCAATGTAATTCGCAGATACTTATTAAGTGCATTCTACTATACTGCTACCTAGAAAAGATTTGGGGAAGTGAGCTGGGTCAGCACTATTGTGTAAATTTTCTCTAGCCAGGTATGACTGCCTGAAGGGAGTTACACCAAGAGCATGGGCAGGCTGGGCAAGGAGAGGACACCAGGGGTGTGAAAGATGATGGAGAGGCAGTCAGCGAATTAGCCTTCCTGTGGGATTAGGGTGAACAATCTGGAAAGATAATGGGGCAGTGTGGTCAGAGAGTGTGACAAGGTACTGATTATGGATGACTTGCTGTTTTTGTGTAGAAAGAGGGCAGAGAATATATTAAAGATTTTGCTGATATCTACATAAAATATTTCAGGAAAGATTCTCAAGAAACTCATGGTATTATTTGCCTGTGGGGAGGGAGAAATAGAGTGTCCAAGGAACAGAGGCAGGAAGAAGATATTTCAACTGAATAACCTTTTAAGCCTTTTGAATTTTTAGGTAGGTGAATGTTTCCTATTCAAAAAAAGTTATTTATTGATATGAAAAAAAAAATAGGCCAGTGGTGGTGGTTCATGCCTGTAATCCCAGCCCTCTGGGAGGCTGAGGCGGGAGGATTGCTTGAGCCCAGGAGTTCAAGACCAGCCTGGGCAACATAGCAAGACCCCATCTCTACGAAAAAATTTAAAAATTAGCTGGGCATGGTGGTATCATGGTGTATTTTCAATAGTGATGTTTTTCCCTGGTTCTTTGGCTCCTAGGTTGGAGGAATAGCAAAGCAAGATGGGCCAATGCGACAGAGAGAAAAGAGCAGATGCTGAGTATATCTACTTAAGCAGCTTTTATTATAAGATAATATAGGAGAGGAAAGCAAAATTCATTTTCTAAGGGGAAACGGGTCTGTCTCCGCGAGTGGAGAAGACCTTGTCTACTTCTATGTTTTTCTTTTTATGTGCTAGTAGTTTATGTTAGTAAAGGTTAGTAGTAAAGGTTAGTTGTAACTAGGACTGAATTCCTTTCTATTTTTGGACATGACTTAAAGATTACATTCCAGTCATTCTTTCTAGTATACCTATGATGGGGAAAGTTCCATTTTTCCATTCCCTGCTGGTCAGTGTTCCATGGCCTAATTACCCCATTCTTTAAGATTGAAATAACTGTTTCCTTTTCTATTTTTCTGCAACCATTTCCTCTTTCTTAGTTTTCTGCCCCTAACATTCCATTACCTCTCACTTGTCTTCCTGTCCCTAACAGTGTCCCATTCCTATAATCCTGGCTACTCAAGAGGCTGAGGCAGGAAGATCACTTGAGCCCAGGAGTTTGAGGTTACGGTGAGCTATGACTGTACCATTGCACTCCACCTTAGGTGACAGAGTGAGACCCCATCTTTTAAAAAAAAAGAAAAAGAAAGAAAAGATAAAGGTCACTGGAATCAAAAACCACAAACACAAACAAAAACAGCCTTTGGTGACATCCTGTGTATGTCATACTCTCTCGAGCATGGGCCCCACCCAGCTCTGCACCTGCACTGATTCAGGTGGCTTCAGCCAAGCTGACCCCAAGTTGTCCCAGTTCTGTGACTTCTCCTGCCCTTCCTTAAGCCTAGATGCCTCCACTTCTCTCCCCCTCCACACCCTGCCTCCCCTTCCTCCAGTCTGGGCTGAAGTCTAGTAGATTGTCTTTCCCTAAGGCAACGAGCTGCTGCATGGGACACCCTTCACTTCCTCCCTCCAGCATATGAGCAAATGGAAGAAATTATTTCAGCCACCTTTTTTATGCTTAGCTGACAACATGGTTGAGGCAACCCTAACCCGTTCCTCCATTTTTCTGTTTAATTTCTTTTTGCCTGTGCAGCCCTGTGCACAAATTCTGTACTTATAGTCACATCTCCAGTCTG